AGTAAGCATCCTACGATTTAGGCTTCTATATTAGGGCCCCCTATTTTCGGGAACCCCCAAATAGTATAATAGGTACTTCTTAAGGCTCCTATCTTAAACCCTAAACCCTAATATGGGTCTAAGTTTTGGGCCCCCAGACCCCAACATGCACCAGAAATATGGTGAACATTGGGTACGGCCCCCACTCAGTAATAGTTGAATAATATTCATAATATAGATATATACGGACCTTAATAGTAGCCTTATTATCGACTCTTACTGTATGGGGGCCGTACCTAAGGTGAACATCCTTGTCCGCCAATTCAGCAGCGCACGTCTTTGCAAATGCAGGCCCTTCGTGGCCTTGTCCTAGCACAGGTTCCCAACAACCCGAGGCCAACCAAGGACTTCGTAGTATTTAGAGTTTAGGAACAAGGCTAGCGTCATAAGGTTTACTGTAAACCTCAGAGGACGGGACCATGCTTGACACTACAGCAAGTTGTGAAGCCCGTGGGTTGCCACATTATATTCTTATCACCGTTCTCGCTCTTAGGTGTTATTTGGAGTCGTATGAAACCCTTCAGGCTTGATAAAAGGCAGGACTCAACCAGCTTAGAGCTATATAGTTGGTTCGTAGCACTGATCACCCCTGTACATCCTGAACCCTAAACCATCCTTCAGGCAGGGAAGCCCAGCCTTGCCTGAAAGTTCGAAAATTTTGACCCTAACTCCTAGAACCCCAACCGACTCAGAGCAACCGAACACTCTGAAGCACCTGTTCCAGCTTATGCAACCGTATCGGGTCGCGGTGTCATTCCGGGGGTGGCAAACATGAATATCCTATCCCACATGATCTTTTGGCCGCGGAAGGTTTGGTTTTCACATCTCAGCGACTCGGACGGCAAATGCAGATCTCGATCTCCTTCCTTGAAGACCGAGCTCAGAATATCTGGCAACCCAATAATTTCCCTTGAAGCCCCAAAAGAATGAAACCATAAAGTTTCTAAGCCTCATCCAATTCGCAAGTGCCCTTGTTGGGGGAAAGCCTGAATTTGTTTGTTTGCTTCGGGAAGCCTAGGCTTTATAGTTGTCTTTAACTCGGTTAAACTGCGTTCTGGAGTACTGTACTTCATTAATCTTTTGGTCCACCACCACTATTATGAAATGAGCTTTTGCGGCATGACAGCTGTGTTCCCCTCCGGTTACCTCAAAGCCCAGTAGCTAGTAGTTATGCTGCAACTTCCTATAACTATAACCGCCCCTTACAGGAACTCCCATAGAACCCTTATGCGACTTGAGCCGTATAACCTCTGCATTTATCGTTTCGTCCGCAAAGTCTAGGGAGTGCAGAGTGGCCCAATACCCCTTAATTAAGGAGAAGACCTGAACATATACGGGGCTTATGTTATAAGTTAAGCGGTATTCCTCAATGAAGGTGTTGTCGGGCTTTCTGAGTGCACAAGAAGCGTGTAGTCAGGCTTTAGGGTTTAGGGTCTAGGGTTTACTCGAAGGTTCATGGTTTTTAGATATGGAGTTGTAAATATACCCTTAATTTGGGTTGTAACTGGAGTTATCCTACAAATCTTATTGGCTGTAATTGGCTTTAAACTCAACTTTTCAACTATTGGGGTTCTTATAAGGTAGTCGATTCTGAGAGTTTTAACTTCTATTTCCTTGTGTTTTGGGCCAGTTAGTTATTACCCTAATTATATCTCACCGTATACCATCCTGTTCGCTCCGAAGTCATGAGACAACGCAAACCCAGAGAGCCCAATACCCCTTAATTAAGGAATATAGCTTAAATCATCGTATGAATCCCCTTATAGTTTAAGCTCTATTCCGTCATTAAGGGGTATTGGGCTCTCTGGGAGCTTCGGGCAGGTGCTGTGAGGAAGCATTCAAATCCGGTGGGGGAGTAGTGCATCACCAGCCTTCGGAGATACGTGGTTCTGCCTGGTGAGAGTATGTCGGCGTGGATTCAGGGATCCTAACTGACAAAAAGCAGGGCAAGAAGCCTGCGACCTAAGACGCGGCTGGTGTGACGTTTCCAGCGTCCTCCAGCATCAAGAGGTTTAGGAAAGCTTGTTGGGGTTTAGGGTCTAAAAGACCCTGTACCCTAAACCCTTAAAGACAAACCTAAACCCTAAGCCCTTTAAATCAAAAACCTAAACGCTAAACCCTTAACAAAACCCTAAACCCTAAGCCCTTAAACACAAAATAAGCCCCAAACTAAAAAGGCTGGACCTTGAAGGCTGATTCGCTAAACCTCGGAGCCTTCGAACCAGTGCTCGGTGCGCACGTGTTTTTCACTGCGAAGCGTAAAGCTTAGGAGTCGAGTAGGAAACGTTTAGGGTTTAGGGTTTAGGGTGGGTTTGGGTAGTATAGTTCCTTAGTTCCCCATGATACCCGACAAGTAGCCACAACCCCAGGACCCCCCCAAGGCAGAGCCCTACTAGCGGGTATTTGGGGTATAGTAGAGGGTAGTTTGGGGTCTAGGCCTAGGCCCACGCCACAGAAAGATGATGTTCAAGTCTTTAGGTTATACGCTCGAGTCCGGGATGTCGGTATCATTCGATGCGCTAGGCTAAACGGCACATCCCAAGGAACAGACGACTGAGTTTCTGAACGTTCTGTTCTACCTCACTACCAGCGCCCTTTGGCGTGCATCTTCCAGTCAGCCCCTGACCGAAAGCCTTGTAAAGGAGCTTGAATAATCAGAATTGGGTTTTGGGGTACATTAAACTGTAACCATCTTAAGGAACTCCCATATAGTATCGGTAGTTATTCAGGCCCCTGTATTCAACGTAAATTCTTGCATAGCAGAGTAGAGCAATCATTCCTTAGCTCGAGTTCTCCAGCTTTGCAAATCTTAGCCTTCACGGAGGGAGACACCTTGGAGTTTACGGAATTTGTGGTCAAGTTTTCGGGCGATTTTTCCCGCAAGGTCAACACAAAGTGCGGAAGCAATCCCTATCCCAACAAACTTACCACTCTACCATTCCAAATGCCGGCCGCATGTCGGGTGTAAGCGTAAGTGTAACTGTAACTGCAAGTGTATGCAACTGTAAGTATAAGTCCAGGTGTAAGTGTAAGTCTGCGTGTGCTTGTGCGCATGGAAAGTTCCGAAGCGCAAGATGCAAGAACAAGAAGCGTGCTCATAAATCTTACTGGAATCACTGTGCACATCGTGGTGGCGTCACAGTTTGGATTTTTGGAATACAGTCCATCGTGAACACCATACGAACAGTGGCGGCAGTCGTCCTCATTCGTCCTTGTCGTGATCGCATTGGAGAACCAATAATATTCACGTCGATCAACGATATGGCTAGTAACTCTGACACGCATAAACGCTGACAGCAGGCACTACATCGGCCGCCGCAGTATTAAGATTAGCGAAGGTCTCTTTCCTTTACTTCATGCTCGCGCTCTTCGCATCGATCAGTCGGGCGCCCGAGAGCAGGGCGCAGCGGGATTATGGCCACTTATAAAGGGTTTAGGGCTAAACCAGAAATCCTAAACCCTAGACGCTTAACCCCGAAAACCCAAGCCCTAAACCCAAGTGTGGCTTTTCAGGGTATCTACGCCACATGTTATGTTCCGGTTCAGGCGCAACTAGCCTGAGGTTCAGAGTTTGGGGTTTGCCTTTGATACAAAGAATAGGGATATGACGCCAAGTTTTGTAATGCCAGCACACCAGCCAAAGCTTCACATTACCAACGAGCCCCACACCTGGAACTGTGCCACCAGACCTTTCGTCACAGTTGTTGCATGAAGGGGAATGGATCAAGAAAGCCGTATTTCAATGCTGTTGGATTGGAGGGCATAGTATCGCCGTCAAAGTTCCTTCATGCCCAAAACTCTACATCCCTCACATGATACGTAGAACCTGTAGTAAAGTCTATGCAATCCTCTAGGCGCAAACGTCCTGGCGCGAACGTGCCAGAAGGAGCCCAATGGCTTTGCTAAAGTCTTGCTAATCAGGGTTACAGTTACCATATAAGGCTTTAGGACTTTAGGAGATACTTACAGTGATTTCGAGCGTTTCAATGATGCAAAGAGGGTCTGGCTTTAGGTGCTTTGTTCAAGTGAGTGTGAAGGTGGCTAGTGGTTTCTAAAGGATTCAAGAAAAACTTTCTGAAAGGTTTATGGCACTTCTAGAGGGGTCAACCTGCTAGAGGGGTCACGCAGATTGGCTCGGGGCGTCGTAGTAAGGGTTCCAGGTTTAGGTGTTCGTGGTTTTGGGTTTGGGAAGCATAGGATCTTCGTGGGCTTTCTGATTAGCATGAAGTGGATTGGGACCTGATAACTTCTGTATGTGTTCTCTGCTTTTCGGATCTCGATTGCAGAACCGTAAACGCTGAACCTTTATAGGTTCTAGCAGAGGACTTAACCCTGAAAGCTTGAACTAAAGCTCTAGACCCGGAGCCCGAGACCCTGAACTTGCTAAACCTGAGTTGAGTTGCGGGTTTAGGGTTGAGGGTTTAGGGTTTAGGGTTCCGTAATGTCTACAGAATCCGAGGGCCAAGACAATCGAAAGCATGTGGGTTGTAAGCAAGTAGCAGGAGAGGGAGAAAGGACACTCGCAGACACAAACCATGCACATGTATGTATAACACATATAACACACACACTTATACATGTGTATATATATATATATATATATATATATATATATAAGCAATGTCCGCGCTCTCGCTGACAACATCCCAGCTCGACAAGCACAAGCACTTGCTACAGCAACGTTTGCTCATCTGGACCCGGTCAATAACAACCGAGTACCAGCTGGGATTTCCTTTGTCGCTGATCCTCCAAAGTATCCACTCAAGGATGGTCCTGTGGTGCCAATCTCTACTTTACGAGAAGGCAGGGAACTATTTTCGAGCTTGCTCAACAAAGAAGCGAGCACATTGAGGAGCACTGTAGGCACCATTCTCGGCGACACCAATGCTCAGCCTATGGTAGTCAACGCTGTGAACAGGCTTCTCTTGGGTGCACCAAGAAATCAACCTGCTCCTTTCGGCATGATGCAACGGCTTTTCATCCAAGGTGTCTATCTAGACATCTTCTCAGTGATGAATGCTCCACCGCCTCCTGTTGTTTCCGCAGCTGGTAACCGAGCAAATGTGCTCGTGATGCATCCAAGATGCTACAGGTTCTTTGAGGAACTTGGCGCTTTCTCGCAAGTGCTCTTTTCTGGAGACGACCTCACCATAGAGCAACTTCAATATATAGCTGATGTAGCTGTGGGCGAACCTCAAGTGCACAAGGGAGTCTTCGTACCACCTGTTCTTCCAGCTGTCACTCATGGAGTAAACGTCGCGGCTGGGTCTTTGCAGATCCAACTCACTGCTACAGATGGCCCAGCTTTGAACGACGGCTCTCTTGGTGGTGGTCTTTCCAGCTTGGGCTTTGTTGGCCCCCATGTGGCCCCTCCTGCGGGATAGGGGTTAAAAAAAAATTAAATAAGGATCAAAAAAAAATTAAATAAGGATCAAAAAAAACTTAAATAAGGATCAAAAAAAGACTAAACGGGTATCCGCGACAGGAAGGGGAAAAAGGAAGGAAACAAAGACAGAGAGAGAGAGAGAAGGAAAGAAAGAAAGAACGAAAGAAAGAAAGAAAGGAAGGAAGAAAGAAAGCAAGGAAGAAAGAAAGAAAGAACGAAAAAAAGAACGAAATAAAGAAATAAAGAAACAACGAAAGAAATAAAGAACAAAAGAAAGAAAGAAATACAGAAAGAAAGAAAGAAAGCCATGCAAGAAATAGAGAAATAAGTAAATAAAGAAAGCTAGAAGTAAAGAAAGAAAACAAAATAGATAAGTAAGTAAATAAAGAAAGCTATAAGGAAAGAAAAAGAACACACAAGGAAAGAACCAAAGAGAGTTAGAAACAAAAACAAAACAAGCAATGAAGAAATAACCAAAGAACAAAAACAGAGAAATAAAGAAAGACGGAAGGCCATAAATTAATAAAGAAAAACAGACATAGTTAAAGGAGCAAGAAAGACGCGGCAAATAAAGAAGAACGATACGTAAGACTATCGCTTCAAAGAAATAAACAAAGAAAGAGAGCCATGCAAGAAATAGAGAAATAAGTAAATAAAGAAAGCTATAAGTAAAGAAAGAAAACAAAAATATAGAATTAAGTAAATAAAGAAAGCTATAAAAACTACAACATATTACACCTACAACCACAACGCCAACAACAACACTACTAGCAACAACTACACCACGAAATCCGTCCTAAATGCGAAATTGTAAGGAAAATTTGATTTTCCCGAGGAATAAGCTAGGTAACGTATGTTTTCCTTCGGAAAACCTGAAGAAATGACACAAACGCCGTAGGTAATAGGAAAATAGGCTTTTTCCTAGGAAAAACCAAGGAAAACTTAGAGAAATACAACGGAATCCGTAGGAAAATCGTGTTTTCCACAGGAAAAACCAAGCAAATCCTTAGGAAACGAAAGAAAATCCCTAGGAAAGCAGTGTTATCCCTTGGAAAAATTCAAGAATTGCTGTATCTAAAAAGCAAGAAAGAAAGACAGAAAGAAAGAAAGAACGAGAGAGAGAACGAAAGAACGAAAGCAAAAACAAGAGGAAGAACGAAAGCAAGAACTAAAGAAAGAAACTTAAGGAAATACCACGGAATCCGTAGGAAAATCGTGTTTTCCCGGGCAAAAACCAAGCAAATCCTCAGGAAATGAAAACGAATCCGTATGAAAACAGTGTTTCCCCTGGGAAAAATTCAAAAATTGCTGTATCTAAAGAGGACGAAAGAAAGGAAAACAGAAAGAAAGAAAGATAGAACGAGAGAGAGAACGAAAGAACGAAAGCAAAAACGAAAGAAAGAACGAAACCAAGAACGAACGAAAGAACGAACCAAAGAAAGAACGAAATAAATCAAACCAGAAAGAAAGCAAGAAAGAAAGGAAGGGAGTATGAGATGAACAAAGAAAGAACAACAGAAAGAAAGAAAAGAAATGAACGAGCGAAAGAAAGAAAGAAGTCCAGAATAAAAAAGCAAAGTTGGAAAAGACGAAAGAGAAAGAATATGAAAGAATCACAGAAACAAAGATACAAGCAACAGGATACTACATAGTCCAATCGAATTTACCATAATATCGTAATGTACCGTAACATAATATAGCATAATGTAACCTAATGTTATAAAATATACTACATATTATGTTGTAAATATGCAGACTGTATTGTACTATGTTACAATGTACTACACTATAAACTAAGATGTTGTTTTGTTCTATGTCATCTTCTGTTATATTGTATTGTTGTATATTTTTAGTATGCCATTATATGCTATAAGAAGCAAGGTTCTGTTATGTCAGAAAATGTCACACCATTTTTGTGTTGTCGAACAATCTTATGTCGTTCTTCTGGTTTACTATGTTATATATATTAGGTTAGAACAGCTCAACGGCTGGGAATCTTGTCCACAACAATCTGAATCCAGGTACTTATCTTGGACATCAGGATGAAGGATTTCCACTAACGTATTCAGCGATTCTGCATGAAACAGTGGCAATTGAGCTCCCTTGCACTGGTCAGAACAACACTTTCTTCAATGCGACAGTTCCATCAAATGGTCCAGGTGCAATCAGCGATGTTCGTGTGCAGACTCGGACCGTTGGCATCACCGGTGGCACCACCGTCGTTCAGCCTACAACATCTGGTCAGCGCGGTGGGGTCAAAAAGCGGAAAGTCGAGCTCAACAAAGCCTGACTGATTCAACCAGAGTTGGAACGACTCTTAGTGCCAGCGTTTGGGAAGCTCTCAGACGAGCTGGTGCTCAACTATTTATCAAAGCATTGCGACATAATTCAACCAGAGGGCAGATTAGATGATGGGGCTATGTATTGGGATGATATCTATCGCTCTTTCTCAGCCTTTGAGAAATCACCTCTACGTTGCAGTGTTATGAATGTTTCGTTCAACACCTTCACGACCAAGCAGCAAATGGATTTCTACATCGGCATCCAGAATGAGTTTGACCGAGGCAATTCTACAGATAGCAAGCTGATCAACATGCGGTTGTACGCTCTTCTAGCAGCAGGCATCGAGCTACCACTTTCTCGCTCTCACCTCGCTGCTTGGCATTATGTGCTCTCTCGAGCATCACCGACATGCTCACAGTCTATAATCACAAATGCTCTGTTGTCCATGACAATAGATTCATCTGCCATGCTACTGGGGATACAGCTTGCGAGACATGGCTTCTTTCTTCTGAATTCCTCAGACCAAAAAGACATAGTGACATAGTCAGTCGCGTCAACAAAGCCTTGGTCAAGTCCTCTATACTATTCGGACTCCCCATCGACTATATGTCACTTGCTCATTGTATTAACTTCATCCGCGCGGTTGATAGAGCACCCAATGTATCCGATGAGGCAGATGAGCTTTCGAAGTTGACGCCAGGCAAAGACTTGGTATACTCCGTCAGTTCGCTCACTCCGGGTACGAAGGATGAGATTGTTCATGCTCCTCCTCGTGCGAATGAAGTATTCCTTCTCGAAACAGCTTTGGTTTTATCTGCGTACAGATTCTTCCACATCCACTTCGAAATCTTGTATTCCACGCTGCTTGTCTTTCAGCTCGCATGGAACGTGCTTCCATTTGACGAGTTTGTCAGAACATTCCCAGACAATATCGCCAATGGTGCTGGTGGTGCAGAAGAAATGCTTGTTTACGATGCTGATGGCAATCACGTCAAGGCATCTTCTTCCAAGCATGCTGCTCTCTACCTACCAGGCAGAGTTCAATCTCTGATCGACAAACGTCAAGCTTGGATAGCTAGTACTCGCATTTTTCTGCATTCTAGGCAGCATCTGTTTGGCATATCTGGGTTACCACTTGATGGTATCTCGCCGCGTTGGTTTGCAGCTACTTTCCGCAGTTCAGTGAATGTTGTGACACTAATCGCTGAGGTGTTACGACTCTTCAAAGCTATTGATCTTGAACACTGCGATCCAGGCCCTGGTCAACCTAGTCGTGTTCAGACCTTGAGGGACAACATTTCCCAGGTTTGGGCATTACCTCTCGGTCTTCTAGGCTCTGACGAAAAGATGGAGCCTATGAAGGCTAGGCTACTTATGGTACCGAAACTACTCGAGCAGGCTGTCATCGATAGCCACAGCCTCGGTAAGTCAGAGAAGCGACTAGCTACTCAACAAGCTGGTTCACCACCAACTCCTCAGGCTACACTGACTGGCTATGAGAGGGTCTTGGCAAGCTTCCTGTCTCCGAGGAATGTACCAAGGGATACCCCCTGGATTTAGCCTTCTCAGTGAGGCGACAGCGAGAGTTCAGGTTACACAGCACCATATTTTCCATCGTTCGCGCCCGTTGGTTGAGGGCCTCTTCTTCGCTATTGCTTGGCCTGATTTCAACAGTATACACTCAGTTCCAACAATGGTATCGATATACCTGGCGTTGTTGTGCACAGCGAACATTGGTTCAGACCAGTATGATGAAGGGTTTCGGATCGAGCGTCCCCGTAGACGCATTGCCAGGCCCCAGTGCCGCGTGCACGTCAGAGCCATTGCCATTCATCCCAGCTCTCCGAGCTGGCACAGGCGCCTTCGACGGAAGCGCGCTGTTCTGCGTGCAAGGACACGTCTCCTGAGGTCTCGTGGCCTCCGCCCACATTGTGGGGACCTCTTCTACCTGCAGCAGCACCACTCTGCACCGAGATACCGCGAAGTCAACCCTTCGATGGGAAGGCGAGACTCATGGGGCGGCGGCTCTCACCAGCAACCTGCTGGGTCGTGGCAGCATGCAGACCCGGCAGCAGCCCAGCAGCCATTCGCAGGGCCGTCTGGGAACTGGGGACACTGCCGAGCCAGCAAACGGCACGGGCGACCTTCTGCGATTTGTGCAGCGCCTGGCCAACACTATCCGGAGATCAGAGGGAAAGCTCCGGAAGTGCGAGACGGAGCGGAAAGAGGTGAACGATCAGTGGCAGGCCTACCAGAAGGAGCTGCAGAAGTCTTTCATCCGAGAAAGACCGCGGCACAAGGACATGACTGCGAAGCTCAATGGCGAGTACGAGGAGCTCCTCAAACAGAAGGAGGAGGCGATTGCCGAGCTGCAGGCGATCTTCACCAAGCCCGAGGCGATGCGACAGAGAATGACGGAGGAAGTTCCTCCGGAGGCTATATCCAGGAGTGGGATGCCCGTATGCAGGATGCCGACGACCCATGGGCGGAGTTGCCGAGCCTGCTAGCTGGTGCAGTTGGAAGTGGGACTGCGCTTCGCGAGTCGGCCAGGGAGCAACTGATGCAGGCCCTTGGGGTTCATGCCGCGGGGCCAGTCGGGACAGCAGCACCTACCACGCCTGTGCGACGACGGCCGCCGGACGTGGCACACACGCCTATGAACAAGAAAATGGAAGGGCAGGAGGCAGCCGAGAAGGAGATGGCACCTGCGAACATGGCAGCCTGGAAGCGGCCAACGACCCGCTCAAGATCACGATCACAGGCCCATGGCCCTCGAATGAGCGTCAAGCACCACACTACTGGTCCGGTGCAGACGACCAAGCCTGGGACATTGGCCCAGAAGTTGGAAGAAAAGAGAGCAGCTGCGGCTGCGGAGCCCCCAGGGCCCATCCCGGAGAGGATGAACTCGAACGAGGAGGACATGTTGGGAGCCTTGGGCCAGGGCAACAGGCCGGAGGACCCGGGCGACGAGTAGCAGCATATGAACATGGAGGTGCTGGCTCGGTCTTTGGTGGCTTTTTCGGTGTGTCCACCTACGTGACTACTACGTACTGTGGCTGGCGGAGGTCTACGACCTACCAGCTTGCAGGGAAGAGCTGAGACTGGCATACATCCTTCCTCCAATTATGAGTGTGGGGCATTTTGCCCCCTCGTGGGAATTCCTCCTCCTGTACGGATCGGAGTCGACAATTTTGCTGGGCACGGCCCTTCGGGAGGCCACGACCCATGGCATGCGTGTCAGCCAATCTACGACATTGTTGATGTGATGAATTTGGTATATGAGGGGATGAGGATGAGACCCTGGGATACCTATCTCAACATCTTTGAGGCCACGGTGAGTGCTATGATGACACTGGTGGGCCTCCTTTTGTTTTCGACAGTGACGACCCTTTTGCGCCCTATGACCCGGGCTCGAACCAGGCGATTTCTAGGGCCGACCCCGCAACGAATCTGCATGGTACTTGCAGTTATGGGCCAGGTGCCGCTGGCGAGTGCTGTCCCTGGAAACCAGCTGCACAGGAAGGGCCCAGATCTTGGCCCCAGAACAGATTTGGAATTCTGGGCAAGCGGCCAGCACCCACCACGAGAGCAGCTGGCGAGGGCATATGCTGACTACGTACGGAGCCAGCCAGTTGAACATAGTAGTGGAGAAGCGAGACCTCATGCGGTGCCAGCGGAACTACCAGCGCCCGGAGAAGCCGTGGAGGAGATCGCCACGGTTCACGTTACCATGTGGGTGACGACACCCTATTACGAGGGTGAAGTGGTGGATGCGGAAATGGGCCTCCCAACTACTGTGGAGCGTATGACCTCGACCCTGAAGAACTCGGGCGCTGTGATGCCGGACTACGCGAGCACCTTTGCGCCAGTGACACCCCAGTTGGGAGCTGACTTCGGCAGCTTCATCGCATATCCTGCGTGGCTGCAGGAAACGGATAAGGTTGCCGTTGTCATTGACAGCACAGCCATCAACGGGGGCGTCTTTGGGGCTTACCTGGAGAACCCGGTCACGCGAGAGGATATCTTGATGAACCTTGTCGAGGGATGGCCAGGCCGGGTTTTCAGGTCTTTGCCTTCGGCAGTGAAAGACCTATGAGGACGGGCCGTACCTATACGGCATTCTGTGGAGGGCTGATCAAAATCATGCCGCAGGGGGCTGTGCCAAGGTGGAATGATGAAATTCACGTCCGTTTGGGAGCCCCAGCCAGATGGAACCCGGAAGCAGCCATGCCTTTCCCCCTCCATGGGCTTCATACGGTGTACCATGGGGCAGACGACCAAGTGCTGGAGGAAATCCACTCTGACGATGAGAGGACCTGGAGGTGTCTGCTGAAGAGGCGTTGAGCATTGAGCATGGCGACGCCTGGGTCAGTGTTCCGGGGGAAAGGCTCCTGCATCTGGCCCATCGGGGCCGAAGAGTTTGGGGCCAGGTAGCAGTCCTCGACGGCATCGGCCAGTACCCGCAGACCGAGCCGGTGATTTTCTTGGATCTACGAGGATTGGCATTGTTCCCGCAGTGGACGCAGATCCAAGGAACGATATTTCGTCCGCTGTATTACGAGACACTGGAGATGCCAGACCTGCCTGGCTGGGTCCTTATGGTGTCTGGTGTCAAGCCAAGGGACGACGGTGTCAACATTGAGGTTGCTACTGGAGATGTCCTGGTCTTCTACCTGGAAAAAGAGGCAGGAAATGATGACCACGGCCCGCGGGAAGAGAGCCAAAGTTCGTCTGGAGAAGGTGACCCGGACGATAGAAGTAGTGGCACTCATGCCCTTCCTGACTCCAGCGACCTATCCACTCCAAGCCCTTACGATGGCCCACCACGAGGGCCGCCACCACCAACTCCGGTCAACCAAAGGCCTCGGAGCCGTTCGCCAAGACGGATGAGAGAGAGGACGACAGAGCACCACAAGATCACCTGCCGGCGAGAACGATTGATCTCACTCGCGCGTGCTTGGCCTTCCCACGTGGGTTTGATACATTGTGGCCATTGTTCCGCCCATGGGAGTTATCTTGGATGGCGTGGGACTTCGGAGAGGTCCCTTTCAATGAGGCGGCTCGGCAAGCGATGGCGGCAGCGATCTCGGTGGATGGTATCCTCCCGGAGATTGAACGGCACCCGCCGAAACTCCGTCTCTATATACACTGATGGCTCGGCAAATGAAAAACGGGGTCAAAGTGGGTATGCAGTCATTGTCCTGCTACAAGTCGGGGCTGCCATCGCCCTGATTGGTGTTTTAGGCGGCCGCCTGCTGGGGGCAGATGACGTGCCATGGCCTGTTCAGGGACCTGCTGCATTGGCAGCAGAACAAATAGCTGTGGCTTCGCCCCTGCTGTGGATAGTGCAGGCAAGAGCTGCAATGCCCTGGATGGACTGCACTCTTCATGTGGATTGCCTCGCGGCAGGCAGAGCGACAGTTGGAGCATGGGCACCATACGATGATTTCGCGGTCAAGGTGCACCACCTCGAGCTTATGATCCGAGAGTTGGACGGAATCCACCTGACTGTCGAGCATGTCAAGGGCCATGCTGGCCATGGTTGGAATGAGGTGGCCGATGCTGTGGCCAAGAGCGCGGCGGCAGGTACCCACCACTACGCCCAGCCACCCCCGGAGGCGTGTAGGGCCCTATGCGAAGAGAACCTTGCATGGGTCGGCACGGAACTGGCGGCCATCCGTAGCGGGGCACTTCGTGTCGAGCAGGGACAATGATGTGGTCTGAGCAGCCGTGGAGGCCGTCCCAATTGAGAGCTGAGCAGCTCATCCCGGTACAAGGGGCCACAACGACAGACCCAGGCGAGGCTGTGGGATTCTACATCTCCGCCTGTTCCTTCAATGTCCAAGGGCTGGGCCAACATCATCGCTACTTGGAAGAGCAGTTCGACCACCAGCAGTATAACATCATTATGCTGCAGGAAACACGGTACTGGGGTGTATCCATATGGGTGAGCAAGACTCATGGCCTCCTGCAGCTGGGCAACAAGGCGGTGATCCCGCGGGAGGAGGACATCAGCGTTCGGATCAGCTCCCCCCGGATCCTCGCTGTGGTGGTACGTGTCGGCAAGACCAAGGTGGGTCTGATTTCGGCGCATTGCCCTCATCCCCAACGAACTGCGGAGCGTACAGAGTTTTTGGCGGACTTCCGAAATATCCTGCAGGAACTACGCCATACACAGTGTAATACACAGATCATGGTCTGCGGGATCGACATGAACGGCAGACTGCCCCTGGGACTTGAGGGCACGACGGGGGACCTTGATGAGTTTGACGAGCCGGATGACACTGGTGAATTGTGTGCTGGCATCATGGAGGAAGCCGGAGTGTGGGCACCGACGACGTTCTCCCACATCCACCAAGGTGAGCCTGCCACGCACTGTCATCATACCGGATCGGAAAGCCGCATCGACTATATCCTCCTTGGTGGCCATGCAAAAGTTGATGCTACTCGTAGCAAAGTCAACAGAGAACTTGACAACGGGAGCCCCAATTTGGATCACTGGGCTGTGGAGCTGGCAATGCAAGGCAGGCTGGAGGACCCGACAAGGAGGCCGCGACTCCAAAGGCCCAGGTTCGATCTAGAAAAGATGGAGACTGTGGAGGGCAAGGCAATCATTGCGGCAGCCTGTGCCTCTTTCCCGCAACCAGCATGGGAAGTCCATCCAGACCAGCATTGCCAACAATTTCAAGACCACATGGTTGCCACTTTGCAACAGCATTTTTGCAGACCTGATGTGGGAAACAAGGCCTCGTACATACCAGATGAGGTTTGGCCCCTTCGCCAGCAAAAGCAGCACCTCAAATGGCGAACACGTGGGCGACTACAGGAAAGACTGGAGACGAGGCGACGTGCAATGCAACAATGGAGGGGCGACGCTGCTTGTGACTTTGCTGCCTTTGTTGCGAAGCACACCCTCCTCTACGAGCTGACAGCAGGAGCGATTCAGATTGCCACGAGGCGAATCAGGGACAAGATTGCGGCGGCCAAGGACCGCTTTCTTCGCAGTGTGGCAGCCAACGGGCCACAGTCTGTCACTGCCATCATGCAGAGGGCCAAGCTGGCAGGCATTGGCTCTAAAGCTAAGAAGCCTGTCCGGCCTCCCTGCCGAAGCTGCTGGACCCGACTACTACAGAGGAGGCGACTTCTGCGGCGGATCGTGACCAGATTTGGCTCACCTACTTCGGGGAGCAGGAGGTGGGCAAGATCGTCAGGACTGCTGACTTCCTCTCCATGTCAGCCACCAGCGAGGACAGGGTCAGAGATGATTGGAGTTGGGAGCTACTGCCCAGTGTCACAGACATTGAGGCGGTTTTGAGGTCCACACAGCCGCGGAAGACGGCTGGCCTCGACCTTATACCAAGCGATTTGGTGCGCACGTGTCCCAGTGAGTTTGCCTGTGCGATCCAGCCGCTCTACCTGAAGACGTTGGTTGGTGGGAGGCAACCCCTTCAGTGGCGAGGTGGCATCCTGTATGAGGCCTTCAAGGGTTCTGGTACACAGTGCGACACGGAGGCCCACAGAAGCTTATACATATCAAGCTTCGTGGGTAAAACCCTGCATAAGGTGATGCGATCGAAGATCAACGAGTGCATGGAGAACTTTTTGCACCCGATGCATTGTGGTTCTCGGAAGGGTATGCCCACCCTTTTCCCCTCGCTGTTCGTCATCGAGCACCTCCGCTGGTGTGCCCGGACCAAGCAGAGTGCGGCCATCATCTTTGTCGACACGCGGTCTGCGTATTATAGATTGGTACGTCAGATTGCGACGGGCGACTTGACGGTTGACCGCCAGGTGGAGGCGCTGTTCCATAGATTTGGTTTGGATGGCAGCGATATAGCAGACCTCCGAGACCTCATCCTGAGTGGAGGGATGCTGGGTGAGGCTGGTGTTCCGGATCCCATCAGGGCTGCTGCTTGGGATTTCCATCGGGACTCGTGGTTTACCACGCGGTACTCCAGTGGCGAGGCTATCTGCCGCTCGACAGCAGGCTCCAGACCGGGTGCCTCATGGGCTGACTGCATTTCTGCTGTCATATATGCCCGCATACTCTACCGAGTGCACGAGCAGATGGAGGGTGAATGCATCAACTTCAGCCTTTACTTGGGCATGGCGTCTGGACCCTTTGAGTGCGACCCGTGTGAGAACCCGCAGTCTGTGTGGGACACCACTTGGGCAGACGACAGTGCGTTTGCACTGACGGCTGATGGGGCTGACCAGCTTGCCGTGCGCACTGCGCGGGTGGGCTCCATGGTCATCACGGCCCGAAAGTCGGGCGCACGGGCTGTCCCCGAATTTGAAAACGACACAAGACCAGTGTCCTTATGCGCCTCATTGGACGTGGGTCAACCAAGACACGCCAGCGATGCTTTTCTTCAGGGCGACCAGAGCTACGAATGGAAGACCTGGGCGAAAGCCTTCAGATCGTCCCCTACTACAAGCATCTGGGCTGTATGGTGGATCCGACCATGAAAATGGCGCATGAGAGTCGGCACAGAACGGCGCTGGCCGCCGCAGCCTATAACAAGGCCAAGGACCTCCTCCTGCAGAACAGAGACCTGACTTTGGCCACACGTGGGATGTTGTTTCGCTCGGCTGTGGTGTCCACGTATCACAACCTGGAAGTTTGGATCGCCAAAGGTAAGGCCTGGACTCAAATGAGTGAAGCATTTTCCCGCATTGTGCGGCGCCTCCTCTGCCGCGACATCCCGGGTGACGCGCTCTTCAGGGTGCCGCCTGCGCTTGCTCACTGGGCGACGGATTGTTGGCCCCTGGACCTTTATGCCAGGCGTAGCAGAATCTCTGCCCTGGTATCCTTGGCAAGAAGGGGCCCAGAGGTGCTATGGGCTATGATCCAGCATGAGAAATGCTGGGGCCAGCAGCTGTGCGAAGACCTACGGTGGTTGGTGGCCGGAGATGAAGAATCCTGGCCGGAGGCACAGGCTGCAGCATGGGCACAGTGGTGGCACCTACTTCGAAGCCACCCACAGCGCGTGAAACCGCGGGCACAACGGAAAAATGAGTTGGACTTCACTGCCTACAAGGAGCGTGCAGCAGTGGAAGTTTGTCTGTGGTTGCTATCCAGGGACGTGAAGGAAGGACCGGATGAACTCAGATGCCCTGGACTATGGCGCTGCACAATGTGCAGCAAGACATTTCGCAAGCGAGCAGGGCTGAGCGTGCACTACTTCAAAACACATGGCAGGTGTGCTGAATATCGGCGGTATATCCGGGGAAGCCGCTGCGAATGCTGCGGTACCGAGTACTGGACTACTGGCCGGCTGGAGGACCACCTACGTTCCAGTGTCAAGTGTGTCCGGGCCATAAAGCGTCTTCGGCGACCCAATGCTGAAATTTGTCCGGGATATGGCAGTCGTCATCGCCGACGCCATGAGAATGACCACTACACCCCGGCGCCTCCAAGGCCGGGAGATGGTTTGGACATTGAGGAAATGCAGCCGGAGTGGAGCAGCTGGCAGAAAGATCTGCATGCTGCCATGTGCGAGATCCTCTTGACCCAACCGTTCCCGAACGACGTGGAGGTTCAGCTACGAGGCCAGCTGAAGAAGATCCCACTCTACCCGGAGGAGATACGCGAGGTCGTGGTCTACTTGCGGGCGGAGGTCGACTACATCCACGTGGAGGCTGGCGTGGAGCAATGGACGAACGAGCAGTACAGTGAGATCCACACTGCGCTGCCACGATTGGGCGAGCATCGCGATGAGGACGTGTCGGAGGACCGGCGAGGTCTGGATACCCTCGACAGCTCTGCCGCCTTCAAGGACGCTATGGCCACTTTTGATTGGCGGATGGCGTGTATGAAGTTGAGGACTGAGCACGGGACCCGCAACACCCCACTGTTTCAACTCCCTGCTAGCTGGGAAGCTGTGTGGCAGCAGGAGAGAAGTGGGCTACTGAACATAGCCGTGGTCAAAGATCCTCTAAAGTTGCTTCCCGAGATTTTGCGCGATGTGTGGAGTACAGCCCTCAATGGAGGGAGACCACGACTACAGGCGCCTGACTCCTTTTGGAAGCATCCGGTGGCAGTGCCTTTCTGCCTTTTCCGGGAGCCTCGCATTTCTAATTAGGCAGCGGACACCACTGACAGCATGCAAAAAAGAAAAAAAATATATACACACATGCTTGTACATAACCAGCGGTTTGTGCAGACACACACACACACACACACACACATGTATGCATGTACACATACATATGCGCGAATGTGTGTGCGTATTTATGCTTGAGCAAGTGTGTGTACAGATGTGTGGATATCATGCATTCTGCATCTGACAGTTACCTTGTTCCGGGATCCTCAAAAAGTGACCCTACGACGAGGGCTAGATGTTTGAGTCGCTCATGTTCGTTTACTCCCCGCGATGCATCTCGATACATCCCCCGCATTACCTTGTTATGGACTTATGTACGGAAATCATGGTAAGGAACCCTAAGAAGCTAGGTTCTTAGGGTCTAATGCAAGCCCTGCACCCTGACTCGTGCCCCCATTTAGTAGCAGAGTTGGGTTGTAGGTTAGGTTTCCAAGACAAGTCATGAGTAGTAGGAGTAGTAGTAGTGGTGAAAGTAGTAGTAGTAGTAGTAGTAGTAGTAGTAGTAGTAGTAGTAGTAGTAGTAGTAGTAGCAGGAGTAGTAGTAGTAGTAGTAGTAGCAGTAGCAGTAGCAGTAGCAGTAGTAGCAGTAGCAGTAGTAGTAGTAGCGTAGTAGCAGCAGTAGTAGTAGCAGTAGTAGTAGTAGCAGTAGCAGTAGCAGTAGCAGTAGTAGTAGTAGTAGTAGTAGTAGTAGTAGTAGTAGTAGTGCAGCAGTAGCAGTAGCAGTAGCAGTAGCAGTAGCAGTAGCAGTAGCAGTAGCAGTAGCAGTAGCAGTAGCAGTAGCAGTAGTAGTAGTAGTAGTAGGAGTAGTAGTAGCAGTAGTAGTAGTAGTAGTAGTAGTAGTAGTAGTAGTAGTAGTAGTAGTAGTAGTAGTGTAGTAGCAGCGGTAGTATTGCCTTGGCTCCTGCTTTTGCGACTGGGGCCAACATGGATTGCAGGGACTCACCCGGCATTTTTGTTTGCTATACGACCCAGTCTGGGTTGCGTTTCGAATGAGTTTCTGGGCACTTCGATGGTGCGAGCCATGTTTTTTTTGTACTGAGGCCATGGCCCCTTGCTTGGCCTCTGACTCCCCTAAACCCTAAACTCCTGTTCAGGGTTGTCAAAGGCCGGCCAGGAGTCTAAGGCACCACCCTTGAACTTTCAGGCAGGCTTTGCACCCTGGCCCGTATGCTGGGATCCTAACCGTTCAAATATATGGGAGTTTCCGACATAGGGGACCCTAATATAGTACCCTGAATAGTAGGATCCTTATTAGTAGATGGATCCCTAAATAAGGTACGCCTCATTTGCGGAAAGTCCCATATCGATGACCGTCGTCTGGGTCTGGGCTTCGATTTCAGACATTTTGAGCTATGGCTTCGTCTTCCTCTTGCAATCGAAATACAACTCCGCAGTCTCTCTGTTCCCAGCCCCGAAAAGCCCTAAACCTCGCGCAGGGCTTAGGGATGTTGTTGTCGTTGTGACTGCATGAAGACTTGCACGTATAACGTTGCACAAAACCCCAAGTCATGGGATTCTTAGCTGTTTGTGTTGGGAAGGAGCTGCTCAACCACTGTGTCCGACCGCCATTCGAAGACATGATGAAGGCTGCAGAGGGTCTTTATATAGGGGCCTTGAAAATTGGAATAGGGTTTGGGGGCCCATTACACTATAACTATAGTAAGGCACCCCAAAAATTGTACAGGTAATTACTGAGGCCCCGGCAATAGGGGTCTCCCAAGCAAGGGTTTTATACAAGCTTATGTATGAGGATCAATGACAAAAGGATGCTATAGTTGAGATTGAGGTTTTCCCCAGCCCTTTTGGGGTCATGGCGAGGGTTCTTTCAAAGGAACAGGGATTAAGGATTTCCTGTCGCGTTTGAGGGGTGTTTTGTTTTTTCGGGTGTGTTCGGGCTTAGGGTTTTTGAGGCTGCCGGTTTTTAGAGTGTAGGTTTACGGTTTAGGCTTGGGTTTTTGGCGTGTAGGGTTTCGTGTCTAGGGTTTAGGGTTAGGGTTCAGGGTTTAGCAACCCAGAGGCTCCATGTACCTTTATAGCAGATACTTAAGCCTCAGAGGGGTCCCTATATGGGTACTTTAAGGCCTAACTATATACCATATGGGTACATGGAGCCTTAGGGTAAGGGTTAGGGTTTGTGGCTGCTGGGAGACAGGCAATTCAGAGCCAGTGTTAGGGTTTGGGAGTTA